TGGTAGTCTTATGATATCATTAATTTGCCTACGACCTTAGTATCACAATCACAACCACTTTCCCATGCTTTATCAAATGGCTCAGTTTAGTCAAGTATTTTCCTCATTCAGGCGCCACGTTCCGTGTCAAATTTGTCATCTTGTGGATCCATAATTTCAGATTTGGGTTGACTTGAACAACCCAAACTTTGACCCCCAAAAAAAAAAAACCTATAGTTCTCCCCACCTCTACCCCCACGCTCCCCAACTTCAAAAAAAAAAAAAAAAAAAATCTAGATGAATAATGTAAAGAATAACTTATGATAAAGAAGAAAATAATTATATAATGAGATTCTTTGTAGTTCATTTTAATCTTCCTAATCGATGAAGGACTTGAGCATGTTGGAGGCTTGTGAATCAATGTTAATTCATTGAGTTAATATTATATATACAAAATATCGAGTTCAAAAATAATTCTACGCCTAAATTAGATTACGCTTATCCCAATAAAGTCCAATTCTACGCCTAAATTGGATTATATATACAAAATATCGAGTTCAAAAATAATTCTACGCCTAAATTGGATTACGCTTAACCCAATAAAGTCCAATTCTTCCTATCTGTGTAAAAGCTATAATATTTATGAAAAATTGTATACATTTTTTAAAGTTCTTATATAATAAGTCTAACGGGATTATTTTCCTACTTAATTACAATACAGAATATTCATCAAAATATCATTGTTAAAAATTATCACTTAATTACAATTTCATAGGTTCATTGGAATATCACTTCAAAAACGAAACATTTAAAATTGGACCAGCATCAGTTAAGCCTGTAAGCCCAATCGCATAAAAAACGCGTGTCTTGGGCCTTCATAGTAGGCCGTAGTCTGGTCTTCGTCAGTTTGATGAGGACTTTTGTCTTGGAGTGATCTTGGGTCAAGATCATAAAACTTGACCCGTAGTTTTATAATAATGTGTGATTGGGAGAATAGAAACTTGACCCGTAGTGGTGTATATGACAACCGTGCATTATACTGATCTTACCAAAAAAAAAAAAAATTTGTACATTACCCTTATAGTTTTGACGGGGCTACAAATGCTAAATGGTTTCAGGTTCCAACATTTTATATGGCATCAACTATCATCTCTAGGACTAGGGATGCTTATTGTTGAAGCTCTTCTCTTCTGAATTATCCCTTCTGGCTTCTTTTTCCTATTATTTGGCCATGCCAGGTGCGACAGGTCATTATTTGTGAATGCTGTAATTTTCAATCGCTTTTTTGTAAGTAGAACTTAGTTATTTTACGAGGGCATAGGTTGTGTATTGTTTAAAGGATCCATTTGGTTCTAGCTAGATTTACGGATTATGAAAGAAAAAAAAAACTTAGCAATTGCTTTTAAATTCTTTTTCGTTTGAATTCTGGAAACATTTGCATGTGAATTACCTGGAACTTCTGTCAAGAGTTTAATATTGGTGTGGCCTTCTAGTTTAGGGCTACGATTATAAGAACCTTAAATGACTGAGTAATCTGTTGAAGTTTGCTTTTGCCATACATCATTATGAGATTAAGAAAAGAGCCTGAATTAATTGATTGGATTTGTGGAGCACGGACCAATAAAACTCTCCGTTTCTTCTATAACTAATTTACTTCCGTCTAAAAAGACTAAAAGGAAAGCAAAAGTACTCCCCAATCTCATAACTAAAGATGAAAGTCACCACTTTTTTTGGTGCTTCATTAAACAGACACGAGGATTTTTGTGATTCCTATGTGATTGTTGTTGTGGGGGGGGGGGGGGGGGTGTCCTATCTGTAACATTGAATTGCGCAATCACTAAGTCTATTATGAGGACGAAATAATTGAGTAAAAAATATAATATCTCTACAAATTAAAGGGATACCATAAATGCCAAAACAAGTGCATTTTGGCAGCCATAGTAATTGATTGCCCGGCACTGGAAACGACTCAAAATATATTTTGTTTAACGTTAAATACTGCGCCCACGTGTCCAGAAAGTTTTGGAATTTTATGATGTGAAATCGAACTTCGAAAAATGATTGTGAAATGAGAATCTACTTCTACGGCAGACAATATCAAGCAAAACTGAGAGTGAAGTCAGAAGGAATTAGCGACTAAAGTGTTGTGCAGCAGAGTAAGGAGGAAGAAGAAGAAGAAGAAGAAGGATGCCACGGACCAGAATTTCAGGGACATTGAGTTCCCCTAAGGTGGACCTGATTATCGACACGGGCAACCCTTTCCTCAACCTCACTGTTGATGGCTTCTTGAAAATCGGCTGTGTAAAATTCCCATCTTAGATATTCTGATTGGGATCGGTTCTGTTTGACCAATTATCAATTTCTTCATTTTCTAAATTCCATTTGGTGGTTGGTTTAATTTGTTTTTTTTTTTTTTTTTGTTTTTGTTTTCTTCTTCCTTGAATAGGTTGCTGCAACCAAAGCAGCCGCAGAGGAAGCATATTACATAGTCAAACGAGGTTCATTTTTTACATTTAAGTATTTTCAGTTCGATATGCATGCGTTTATTTAACAAATTGCAATTTCTGCTATAAGCATACAAATGTTACTAGGATTAAGTCAAACCCTTTTAACTTGACCGGAGAAAGTGGGAATTTTCTCAAATATTTTACCTTCCTTGCTTTGATGGGATTTACTTATATTGCATGATGACTCTAATTTGAAAAAAAAAAAGTGACATTTTCTACTAGTAGCATAAAAAGTGTATTGCGCATGCGACAAATACATACATTAAAGAGAATTTCTTGCAGCTTTTTTCTTTTTGGTTTGACATGGTTTATTATGCAGGGAGTATTTCTCATCACAAGTTTGAGGATTCGGTAAGATTCTAGGAACCATTCTGTCTCTTACATCTATAGTTTCTGTCATTGAAAAGCATGGCTAAACAGGTAAATTTGATTTCAGTTTTGTTTGAGGTGGAGTTCTTGTAATGATACTGGTAGTCTTGCTGAATTTGTCTGACACTTTTGACAAGAGGACAGTCAAGACGCGGGATAATTAGTTATATATCTAGCAAAACTATAAAAATCACTGGAAATGGCGGTCAATTTCTGAGTTAACACTGAGACATTGTGAGAATCATGCGGCCATGTATACCGTATTTTACTAGCATTCTGAGGATTCTTTTGTAGTATATGATGTATGCTTAATGGCTGCAGTTGGTCACATTTCTAATGCAAATGAGTTTCCTGTGTTTTTCAGTTGAAGAAAATGTGCAAGGAAGGAGCATACTGGGGTGAGTGTCACTTGAAATTTCTGTTACATATGTGACAGGAGATCACTCAGACAAGAGACGAGACTATTCTGGTTTGTTTTACAGACTGACAATCAGTTGAAGTTCATATCTTCATTTCGCTTACAGGAACAGTAGCTGGAGTGTACGTTGGACTGGAGTATGGTGTAGAGAGGATTCGGGGTGTAAGAGATTGGGTAATCTATCAACTAAATCTTTTTTGTACATTCACATGAGAATCTGTCTTCATGCATCAATGTCCATGTTTCTTTCAGCCTGTAGGATAGGACAGCGGTTGGCTTCCAATCACCCCTTTTTAGTTCAGAATGGGTAAATGTGGTATAATACTGAATACAAGTAGGCATGTTTCCCACTTAGATTAATAATGGCCACAGGCAAAAGATGTCACAGAACACTCTACTAGACATACAAATGGTTATCGCTTCATAACAATTGGCAACATTTGACAGGGTGGACAAGCTGCAATATGCTTATCTTTCAGTTTCAGAAGCATCCAAAAGCTGTGACCTACTATCTGTCCTAATTCTTGTCTGCATTGACATGTTTTGTTTTGATTTGGCTGGATTTCACAGTCTAAGCATTCTTTCTTATAAGATCTTTCTGTACAGTGAATTTGTTCTGTTTATAAGGTCGTTTTAAGCTGTTTTGCTTGTTTCATTTGTCCATTTGCAGAAGAATGCAATGATTGGGGGTGCATTGACAGGAGCTGTAATATCCGCAGCTAGTAACAAGAACAAAGACAAGATTGTGATGGATGCCATTGCAGGTAGTGCTATTGCAACTGCTGCGGAGTTTATCAACCATTTCACATGAAACATAGAACTAGCCTTGGGTCGTGATGCAACACTCAGGCATATCTCATGTTACATAGTAATAACAGCATCAGAAGATGCTTATCCATCTGGGGACCAAACCATGCTAATCCACTTTTTCAGGATGTTTTGTTTCTGTTGAAATATGAGATTTAGCATATAGCAAGGTGATCATAAGGCCGCTTAGGCCTGCTGCCTTGCTTTGTTTTATACTCCAATTACATTTCAGCTAATCGACTAGAGTGATTACTTTTACGACTACAAGTTTATGTTGCTCTAAAGAACCTAAATGTCTGTTGTATGCATGAATGTTAGAAGGTTCGCGACAGAGAAGCAGTTCAAAATACCTCATATTTCCTCCACATGTTATTCAAGGTGTCCGCTAAGGAATCAAATAAATCCTGAAAAGCGAAGGAGGATACCCATTCTGGCATTTTTTCTGCTCACAGTGCTAAACCCATAAACGAAATATGAGTATACTCATAAATATGAAAGACAAGGCAGGATAGGGCACCTTGACATTTTTGCTTTTCGATGTGCTCTGGTCACAGGTGACAAAGTAACTATACTCCTTGTAAATATGATACAGAAGGCAGAAAGAGACCAAAAGCTCCCTACCAGAAGAGATGAAGAATGGAGAACACCTCTTGGAGATAGGGAGTAAATATTATTGATAATCAGATTTAGACAAGGGATTTGGGGACTGAATTCGTTACAAGCTGTTCGATGATATTTCCCTTTGGCTTTACTGATATCTTATACTAGCAGGAAGGCGGTGGAGGGAAAATCAGTTACAACCAATTCCCCTGCCGTTCCCTTTTTGTTACTTTCCATTTCGGGTGCCTTGCATGTGACCAGCACGTAAATTGTCCATGCATGGCCTTACTATTTTTGTGAGTTAGTTACATGCGATCTGAACAAACAAAACAAATTGCAGAATAGAAAATACAAGTTACAACCAATTCCTAAAGTGCCCTCTGGTAATCTTTGTGTGCGTAACAAAATATGAAGGCTTTGAATATCTCCGTCAAAGATGCAAAAATTCTGAATGCCGCGGATGTGATAACTAAATTCCCAAATTAAAAACCCAAAGTTCAGATACAAAGTCCATGACTAAACAAGCTCACATTACTTCCATAACAAGACTGCTAAGTTAATTAGTTCCTAACATATCAAGTCAGATCGAACTTCATTATTTTGATAGTTAAAATCCGCTCGACATGCCCCAAAAAGTGAATCGCTATCTATGCTGGTGACATTCCCATCCGTGAGGTGTGAGTGTACATATAAGCTACAAAGCCGCATTTGTAGATTCTGTCAAAGAAACTCGACATGAAGGAATCGATTCTTTCCATTGGCCTGTTAGAACCCATAGTGCAGATATTTTAAACCTACATGAATAAAGCAAACACAAGGTTTTAAAATTATACAACATTAATCAAAAGGAAATAACTTGTCAACTAGAATTATAATTGTACTTACTGGTCAGTAGAGACAAAGGTGAATGCTATTCCACGTCAACATTTTTGAAGCAACCTTGAAATCAGTGTCAAAAAGTGGCAGCTTCAGAATCTCAATACCATCCCCAATGGCATTAAGCAGGATGCCGGTCAATACTTAAAGCTTAAGCAAAGAGGAGAGAAGTAATAGCCAGAAATGCAGTACTTGGTCTAATGGTCTAATGTTCGGGAGAAAGCGTGGACAAGTTTCAAGAATCCTTGTGCTTACGTCAAGAGAGGTAAGCATGTCTTAAAAAATGGAGCTGAGAGTGCATCTGAAATATAACCACCGACAAGCAGAAGCAAGCATTTAAGCAGCATCATGCCGCCAACTTTAGCGCGTGTGGGACAAAAGGTCCAGAACTAGTAGCAGAGTGATTTTGCATTAGATATCTCTTATCCATAAAATTCTGTTTGATCAGCTCAACAACGTATGCAAATAATTATAACGGCTTACACTACAATCACTTAGGAAACTGCTCAATGAGTTTCAACAGGCTATAGGTCTCAGAGTCCGGTCTAGACCCTCCAAGAATCATCCTCTTCAGAAGATTTGGTTCATGTAGTTTTGCCTTAACATACGCCTTTATCAATGTATTATAAACGAATGTATACCTTGTATAGTTGGCTTTCTTTAATTCTTCAAACAATTTCTCTGCATTTTCAACATCACCATTGTCTGCAAAAATATCAAGTATTGAAAGAGTGGTCTCTAGCCATGGAGTGGACCTCCTAACTTTCATGCTCACTGAAATATCCATTCCCAATTCAAGGGTTTTGATAGCTTCATTTCTTAACCCTGCTTTCAAGCAACCAAGAGCAAGATGCCGGAAGGTAATAGCATTAGGTTTGCATCCATTTTTCTCCATTTCTTTGTACAGGCTGGTTGCTTTTGTGATAAAACCATGTTTGCAGTACACAGATATCAGTGAATTCAACTGCTCTGTAGATTTCAATCCCTTGACTAATTTCATTTCTGCCCAAAGCTCTTCAGCTCGATTTATGTCTCCTATTCTGCCAAATGCTTCAACTGCAAGCACAAAACTCTTAGACCTAACATTTGGTAGTCCCTGAATGATGCTCCAGATTCTTTCTAGCTGAGTCCGCATACCCAAGTATCCATACAGTATAACAAGAATGTCGTATGTTGACCAATTGTTTCCACTTGTCGATTTCTCAATAGCTTCAACATAAGCTTTACATACAGTAGACAACCTCGCCACAGCATGTGCAGTAGCTAATATGCAGTAGGAAATCTCATTTGGCTCAACATTTGCTTGTTTCATATCACCAAACACTTTTGCCAATCTTTCAATGTTGTGGTCATTAGCTTCTATCTTTAACAGAATGTTGTATGTAGAAACATGTTGAACCACCTTGTCTGCTCTCATCTGGGTCAGAATTTTCTGAATAGTCTTTTTCCGGCCAGGAGATGAATGAAGAATAATGAGGCGATTGAATACTAGATATGATATGAGATGGCCCAATTCCCTCATTTTCTTCATATACGAAAGTGAAAGCCTTATTAAGCCTTTGTCCAAGCATGCCAATACAAGATTGTTGTAGAGCAACTCATTTTGATACTCTGATGGGATATGAGAAAAAAGGCTCTCACCTTTTGATACCCCATGAAGCTTAGTAGTGAATTCCAGTAAGTACGAGTAATCTAGCTCCTTCGGCCTGTAGGGTCTCTCCCTAATGACCCATTCCATTACCTGTCAATTGTTGAAACAATTACGATCTCTATTTCAAAAATGCTTCCATATCCCGAAGACTCGCAGTAACTGAAAATTGCTATATCAAATGCATTGTATTCAAATCTAACAAAGGGAATTAAAGATGGCCTATTTCCAACTTTAACCACTTTTAGCCTTTTACACACTGAAAACTTGGTTTAATCATTTTCACAAACATGTATGATGCATTTTATACGAAGAAAAAGGTTAAAGGGAAGTCAAGAAACCTCAAGGGCACGTTTGTTGGCTTTGAATTTACGCAAACGGTTGATAGTATGAAAAATGTCGCCTCTGTGAATTGGGAAGCCATCACGCATCCAGCTCTGGAAGGCTGAAGCAACAGGCTCTCCTCTTGGCAGCTTTTCAATTCTCCAGCTCAAGCTCTTTGCTCCTCTTTCTTCGTTCTCTACTTGTTCTCTCTCCGAATCCGAAGTTTCTGGGCACGGAATAAGGGTTGGCTTTGCTGTTTGGGTGCAAAAGTTGGGGCCAAAACAGCGGAAGTGGCGGGGAGAACATAAAGGGACGGCAATTGTTCGACGTATTGCTCTTAAGACACTTTGTTTATGAACGACTGCTACGATTTGCATCTTTTGGAGGGAAACTCCGACAATGGAGAGTAAATAAGGGAAGTGATTCAATCAATTCAACGCTAATGATTTGAGGTACTTTCATTTGGGTCTTTAGCCTTTGCCCCCGTTGTCACTTTGGTCCTTGCTCATTTAAATGATACTAAAATTTCTACAGGGCTTCTTATGTATGCAGGTGACTGACTTTGAATTTCTTTATTTTCCAAACTTGAATTTAAATGGGTTAGCCATCCATATAAGGTGTCTACCTTGCCCGCCTTTAGACTTGAATGTACCATTTTGATCAAAATGCCATAGAGGGGAACATAAAAAGCCTTTTTGATTGGAAATATCAAAATACAGATGAATGATTTCTGCACTGGAATCATACAAACAGATGATCTGAGAGTTCCGGTTAATTTTAGTCTTACCCTTAGATCAAGTTATCTGGCAAAATTTCATCGTAACTTCAGCTATCAGCTCAGGGAACTCTCCAGTGAGGAGGGTCGTAACAGCAGAATAATTCGCATGACAAATTTCACCACAGTGAAGGAATTATTTCAGTAGTACTTTTAATCTTACACAACTCATTGTAGTCTTCACGCTAGCATCAAACAAACACAAAAAAAAAAAAAAAAAAAAAAAAAAAAAAAAAAAAAAAGAAAAAGAAAAGGGACACGACCAGAACATAGCCATAAGACATCAGCAAAATCCAGAGTGGAGATCTGCAGAAGTCATGGCTTTCTTATTTAGGACAAGCTTTACCACACACCATCAGGAACATTAACAACTGAGGCTACCCAAGGGTCGCATCATAGTAGTCATAATTACTAAGTGGAGATCAACAGATCAGTCATTTTTTCATCAACAGTTGCAAGGGTTGCATCGGCAGCTTGGTGCACACTTGCAGCCATGACCTCCTTCTGCTACGAAGCTTTTCTCGGATCCCTCGGGGAAACTGCATAGGGTACAAAATACACATCAATCCCTCCAATCAAACAAACATATATCTGTTGTTTCCCTTGTTTTTAGCTTTCATAAGCAAAAGCTTTACATACATGTTCACTGGTGCTACCCCTTCAATCAGGGTCACAGTTGTGTCCTTCTCGACATCAGGGTACATTCCGCAACTGTCAGTTTAACATTTTGGTAAGCAACTCAAGAAGACTGAAACAGATGAATTCTCGACATATGAACTTTAGCAAGACAATTATCAGATTCAAAAGTATATGTATCATAAGAAAACGTATTTATCAAAAATACATATTTTCTTGAAGACATATTCAAATGCAAACAGTAGTCCAGCAGCAGACTTAAAATATGTCTGACATCTAATTAGAAGTCAAACAAAAGATTGGAGGACTGTTTATGATTTGTGAAGTGTTTACCCTCCGCAGCCGCTGCCACAATTGCGGCCAGAACCACAGCCACTGTATCCTCCACAGCAAGACATTTTCCTTCCAATTTTAATTCACCAATGCAGACTTAATCGAGTTATTTGCACAGCAGCTGGCACCTATTTATAATGCAAAGGGGAAAGAGAGATGCTGGTGATCATCCACAATACCAGCCTTCTGATATTTGTGTTGTTACGTGGAGATGTAGAATAGATTAATTGATAATTCCTACCCTTCTTAGTATTACAATACCAGCCTGCACGTCACTGTCATATTGAACCATTCATGTCGGTTTTTTGGCTTCTGACTTCGATAACTCATGACATTAGCAGAATGGAGCATAATAAAACCCTGTTGAAAACTTATAACTTCTGAGAACCAACCTTTCTTTGCCCAATGAAAGCAAGCCTTCTGCGATTATCATAACTTGTATCATTGAACCGTAGGCATAATATCAAGTTGGCATCAAAAAATGATTCAAATAATCATACATTAGAACAATGACCAATGTATTAATCACATCAGTTGCTAATAAATATAATACCCACCCCAGAGAACTTGATAAACACACATGTAACCGCAGATGTTGCTTGAAAATGAATAATGTTATCCCCAGACATAAAATATTAATCCCAGTACAAAGTTTCTTTCATCTGGATCAGTTGTAGCACAAGTGCTTACGCCAAACGTGCTTACCTGTGCTTTATTTTTTGCGCTGTTGTCAACGTCTTCCAAGGATTACCCGACACGAAATGACAGGCATGATGCTTGCCTCTCAACTTACATTATCTCCGATCTGTACCTATATTATTGCAAGATGAAAACCTACATTCAGACGATTATCAAAATGTGCTGAAGTCAACTTGATGCAAACCAATTGTTCTTCCCTTGTCTGCTCAGTCTAATGCCCATAACTATCAAATCAATATCGAATCATGGTTAAAAGAAGAAAATTCACGCCACAAGGCCAAGACCATAAAACAGAATGGTCCGGGGAATGAGTACCTATAATAGCAACGCCTTGGTTCTCCATCGGTGCCTTAACTTAAGGCTGGGACCTTACGCTTATGTATCCCACTTGAAAGAGACAAGTTTTACATAGGAAATTTCTCATTTGTGTGTGAAGCACCAATTTGATTAAATTCCCAAGCCCAAGACTCCAAAGGTGAGAATACAAAAAAGCTCCGTGTGATTAAGTTAACCTATGGAAAAACTCATTTATAGTTTCAAATCATACATTTCGCTCCCTCATGGTTTGAACTAATTTGAAATAATAACGAAAATTGTCAAAATTGACGGAGGCGGATGAAATGACACAATTATCCTAATATATATAAGCAATAAAAGACCTTCTAACAACCATTCTATTACTACAGAAACGTCGGAGGAAATCCTCTCAGTGTAGAGGGAAAAGTCTCTCTCTTGGGATTAGAGCCTCCCTCCCCCCAGTGGTGGGATCTTCAGCAAACTCAAACTTTTTCAAAAACACATATTCCCGCGACTCCTTCTCAGAGAAACAATCCAACACCAAATTTTTTATGCCTGAATCTAATGCAGAGTTAATACAGTACTAATATCACCACTAGTTTTCGAAGGTTGTCGGAACAAAGGAAGCACAAAACACCATTATCGCTCTGGCCCATGTCGATGAAGGTGTCCGACCAAAAGAAGCATAAAAAGTCATAAATGTCTTGGCCCAAGGTAAGCTAAAGCTTGTTTAACTTGTTTTCCCTGTGTTTATCTCTTTGTCTTTTTCTGAGGTAGTGTTGTGCTGGTTATCTTTGTTTGTTTGTGTTCCCTTCCTGTCGGTTCTTGTGTGTACTTTCTCCTGATTGGTAGACGTTAAGCTCTTGCCTTTTGTGGGGTGGAAAGGTAACACTTTTTGGAACCTCTGACTGTATCTATGGAGGGGGAGTTAACCGAGCTGTTGCAGAAATTTTCTTTGGCTGGAAATGAGCTCTCAGGAGCTATCCTGAATCTAGAGGACCTCAACAGTGGAGTTAAAGAATGTGAAGGAAGTTTGATAGGTAGAATTATGGGGGAAAAAGTTGCGAATTTTTCAGGGGTGAAGAATTTTGTAGCTGCTGCTTGGAGTTACCCCAAACACTTGACAGTTATGGAACTAGGGCCCAATTTATTTCAGTTTAACATTCCTAGCCTAGAAGAAAAAGAAAGGATTGTGGAAGGGGGTCCGTGGGTTATAGATAACCAAGTGATGGTTATTAGGAGATGGTCAGAAGGGATTGAAGGAAATTATAGAGAGTTTACTATCGCACCTATGTGGGTGCAACTGTGGGACTTGCCTATACATTGGTTAACTAAGGAGGTGGGTAGGAAGATTGGGGCTGTGTTTAAGGGAGTGAGAGAGGTTATTGTCCCTCAATCTGGGGGAAAAGAGGGTAGACACCTCAAAATCCTAGCCCTTGTAGACCTATCTGTACCTCTCCTTAGAGGCACAGTGGTTCAAACAGCAGGGAAATTGAAGTGGGTAGTGTTTAAATACGAGAGATGCCCAGACTTTTGGTATAATTGTGGTGTTGTGGGTCATAGCGAAAGATCCTGTAAAGAGCAGAGAATTACGATGGCAAGGCTCTCAGAGAACCAATATGGTCCTTGGATGAGAGCGGTGAGCACCAGAAGTCCTAGTAAGGAAAGACCTTTGAAACCTGAGCTGAGTAAGGACAGAAGGTACTGGAATTTCCAGAATGGAGAAATGGTTGAGAGGGAGAGGAGTAGGTCGCAAGCAGAGGAGAGACTGTTGGAGTTCCTTGAGAATGCTGATAAGAAAAATAGAACTAAACAACTTCTGGATAAGGAAAGGGAGAGTAAGAGCTTAGGGACCTCCAATAAGTGCACGTCCATGAGCCTTGATTATAGCACAGTAGTTAGAGGCCTTGATGCTGGTGATCAGCAAAGGGTTGAGGGTAATCTAGAACCTTGTATGACTGACCAAGCCTTGGTGGGGGAGCGGATAGAGCCAGTAAGATTGGAAGTGAGGGAGGAGGACACTGTCATGATTTCACCAGGGTTAGATCCAGTAGATAGGAACCAGGAGTATAGTGTAGGGGAGACTGATATCCAGGACAAGCTCCTGGTAACTAGTAAGGTCCAGGAGGCGGTTAAGAAACAAGCTAATAGGTCCTATAGGAAGCTTAAGAATCCTGTGGTTTCTAGAAGGCCCTTAAAGGAGTTGAATGGTCAGGATCTTAGTCTTATAGGAAATGGTAAAAGGAAGGTGCTGCCTTGTGATGAGGAGATGGAGGATTTGCAGCAGCAACATGTTGTTTGTAAAAAGACCAAATCCATGCTGGAACCTATCCAGTTTGAGAGGGAAGGAGAGGAGGTGGGGGCTAACCTTTATGGGGCCCCCATGCAATTATGAGAGCCTTGGTGTGGAATTGTCAAGGTGTGGGGAGCCTCTTGACAGTTCCCCATTTGAGAGAGGTGAATAACCTCCTCTCTCCTAACCTGATTTTCTTGAGTGAAACCAAAAATAGGAAACAGGTAGTTGATAGGATAGCTAGGAGTCTTAGATTTGATAACAGTGCTGTGGTGGAGGCAATGCACAAGGCTGATGGTATGGCTTTGTTGTGAAAGGAAGACACTCAGGTGGTAGAGGTTTTGCAAACAGCCTTTACCATCGAAGCCAAGATTGAGGACTTGGATCTCAAGTGTATTTGGTGGTTTATAGGAGTATATGCGAGCTGTGATGCTCATATCAGGAAGAGTCAATGGAAGGTCCTCCATGAGAGAAGCAGACTGTGGGGTAACAGATTTTTGATTGCTGGGGATTTCAATGATATTCTTTCTAATGAGAAAAAATAGGGTGGCCTGGTTAGAGAAGAGAGGAGCTTTAAAGATTTTAAGGAGTTCCTGGATCTTAATAACCTGGTTGACATAGGTTTTGAAGGTCATCCCTAGACTTGGAGTAACCACTGGGATAATAAGGGTGAGATTAGGCAAAGACTGGACAGATGCTTGGGAAGCATTGAGTGGTACCAGACTTTTGATAAGGCAAGTTGTCAGCACATTGACACTTATGCCTCTGATCATAGTATGTTAAGTTTAAACACTTGTACAGGAGTGGGAAAACAGAAGAGAAGGTTTTATTTTGATAAAAGATGACTTCAAAGGGAAGAGGTGTATAGGGTAGTAGAAAGAGCCTGGCAGAAAGAAGAAGTTGGATCCCGCATGTTTAAAGTTACCAAAAAGATTAGAAATTGCAGGATTGAACTTTTGAAATGGAGAAATACTTTCAAAGCCAATTCCAAAAGCAGGATTGAGAAGATAAAAGAGGAGCTGAAAAGGTGAAAAACTCAGATTGTGAGAATAGAAAAGGGAAAGTTGCTGAGCTTAAGAATCAGCTTAAAGAAGCCTACACGGAGGAAGAAAATTTCTGGAGTCAAAAAGCCAGAATCAACTGGCTAAGAGAAGGTGACAAGAAAACTAAGTTTTTCCATGCTCACGTTAAGGGGAGGAGAACTAATAATAGAATTAGAAAGCTGCAGAAGGAAAATGGCTCTTGGACTGAGAATGAGGAAGAGGTAGTTGCAGAAATTTCAGAATACTTTAAAGATATTTTCACTAGTGGAGGCAGGAGGGATATGTCAGAGGTTCTGGAGGATATTTCACATTCCATATCTCAAGAGATGAATGATAAGCTTACTAAACCAATAGAAGAGAAAGAAATCAGAAAAGCTCTTTTTTCTATGCAGCCTGAGAAAGCTCCTGGACAGGATGGCATGTCTCCCCTGTTCTTTCAAAAATTTTGGAATATTGTAAAAGGAGATGTCATCCCTGCTATCCTTTCTTTCTTTAGTACTGGCCATATGCTCAGATCGATAAACCACACTGTCATATCTCTTATTCCTAAAATGCTGAATCCTACTTGCCTGAAAAACTTTAGGCCTATTAGCCTGTGTAGTGTGATTTACAAAATTATCTCCAAAATCCTGGCTAATAGGCTAAAGCCTATTCTAGACATTTGCATTAGTAATACACAATCAGCTTTCATTCCTGATAGGCAAATTCTAGACAATGTGATCATAGCTCATGAGTATATGCACTACCTCAAAAATAAAAGACAAGGCTTAGATGGATACATGGCAATCAAGCTGGACATGGCTAAAGCCAATGATAGGGTTGAGTGGCATTTTTTGCAGGCCGCCATGCAGAAGATGGGTTTATGTTCACAATGGATCAACTGGATTACTAGGTGCATGCAAACGGTTACTTACTCTTTCAACTGCAATGGAGAAACCAAAGGATTCATCACACCAGGGAGAGGGATAAGGCAGGGAGATCCTCTGTCTCCCTACCTCTTCCTAATCTGTTCAGAAGGCTTTTCAAGCTTGTTGAGGAGAGCAGAAGGAAGGAAAGAGCTACAGGGGTTGAAAATTAGTAGACAAGGGCCTATCATTTCACATCTCTTCTTTGCAGACGACTCATTAGTTTTCTGTAAAGCCAGCACTCAATAGGCCAATGAAATTATGAAGATCCTCAAGACGTATGAAGAGGCATCAGGTCAGCTGGTTAACCTAGATAAATCAGCTGTTTTCTTCAGCAAAAACATCTCCCTGGAGCAAAGAAAGGAAGTATGTAGTGCTTTAGGCGGAATGAAGGAAATGACACAAGGGAGGTATCTAGGCCTTCCAATGGTGATAACAAGAACAAAAGACCAAGTGTTTGGCTTCATCAGAGAAAACATGAGTAGAAAGCTTCAGTGTTGGAAAAATAAATTGCTAAGCAGTGCAGGCAAGGAGGTAATGTTGAAGGCTGTCTCCATGGCAATGCCTACTTAC